ATTAGCAGATGCCTGTGTTAGGCAAATTTCCTCCATCCCTGCGAGCCAGTAAAAAAAAAAAAAAAAGGCTCTGGGTCCTGAGCCATACAGAGCACACAAAACCCACTGACACAGCCACTGGAAATGAGACTGAGGGGACACAGAGAGGGGGACCCCTGTAAGAGTCATCTTTTCTATCCTCCATCTTATTGTCAAGGCAACAAACAGCACTGGGCTCCAGATTTAAAAGCCACCACGTCTACTGCTCCCACTGACCCGAGATAACACAGAACTGGGTGTTATTCTAATACAGCCGGGACAGGCTCTGCTGGTGTATTTGTGTTCATGTGGGCTTGTCACCAGGAGGCAGGCCTAGAGGCAAGGAGAGAAGATGGGGCCCCCTCCTGTCTGCAGGGGTTCTGTCCATTCTCCAAGGAAGAGCCCACATCTCTTGCTCACCATAACCCCTCAGCTTCTAGCACAGTGCCTGCCCGGCACATGGTTGTGACTCATGAATTTCTCCGGACACGAAGGAATGGATGGATAGATGGAGGATGGCTGATTCACTGCTGTGTTCCCAGGGCTCAGGGAACCTGAGATGGCTGCGGCTGAACACCTCGGGATTCAAAAGATTCTACAAAGATTGCGGGTAGACAAAAAGAACTATACATGGACCACAGTGGCAGCATGCAGTCCCCACCTCATTATTCCTGCACTTTCTGAAGCCACAGAAGCAGATTGAGAAGATCAGTGCTCAACGTTCTCCTTATTTCTGCAGCCACTTTTCCGCCAAGTTAGACTTATCACAACCTGTCCTCTTAATCATTCCTAAGACATTGCACCCCTTAACTAGGCTGTGTTGAAGAGTACCAAAGTGACTCTTCTAGATACGACAGCTAGAAAGACAGAAAGATAGAATAAATGATACCAAGATGATGGATGGATGGACATATGATAGAATAAAAGAACGACAGAAAGATAGATCAACAGATATGGTTGGATGGATGGTAGGGAGTCGGGTGAACCGAGTTGGGATTGTGTGGGTGCACACATGTTACCTGCATTTCACTCATCAGGAACAACATTCCCACCTTGGCAGAGCAGAAGCTCCGCCTATCTCACTTACTGTATCATGTCGCTCTATACCATAATATGCGGACTGACCCTGATGTTAGGTGGAGTGCACAGGTCTCCAGTCAGCGTCTCTGGCCCTCTCAACCAGGGGGGCAGAAGTCAGCCCTTCAGAAGTTCCCCTGAGTGTTTGGGGCTCGAGTCGCTTTCTCCGAAGCCTTCTTTTAAGCAGCAGAAGGAGGAGGAAAGCGAGCAGAACACCGGGTGCTCTATTTTTATCTTTCGTGGAGTGCACAACTTGTCGATTTTCCCATGATAGACGTTCATCCCTTACATGACTGACCCACGCTGCCAAAAAGCAGCGCATAAAATACAGGCCATTTCTGCTGCCGAGCTAGCACATCCCACAGCGACAGCCAGCTTCACACATCAAAGGGCAATGGGCAAAATGTGACAAAGGACTCTCAGAGATTCCCCTCTGGAAATGACAGGTTCCTCGTTTTTGCTAAAAACAGGTGACACACTGGCTTTAAATATCTTAAACCAAATAACATTTAGGAAAACCACGGATGTTCCCTAGTCTCTGTAACCTACCAGGGGCCTTTCCAGCTGTGCCTCCTTGACATCCACGGCCTTTAGAGACCCCACAATCCTTCCTAAACTGGTGTTGTCTTTCATTTCTACCAGGAGGACTGGGTCGCTGTTCTCCCGTTTCATCACGTGTCTATCAGAAGATGGCCTTTTCATGGAGGACACAGTGACATGAGTAAACACGTTACTCCATGTTCCACTCTCCCCTGTTCTGCCGCACTCAGGCTGGCTCGCTCACGTATGCTCTTTCACACACGGACACGGCACCCACCTCATCTTTCTGTACATGAAGGAAGGACCACAGACCTGGTGACTGCATAGAAAGTAAATTCCCCAACACCTTTGTGAATGGCCAACAAGAATGAGGCTAACAATCTCTGAGGAGGGGCACACTTGGGATACTAAAACCTCGTGAGTCTGCCCAGGGCCACATAGGCCTGTTGTCTCTGTGTATATTTGGGAGACCTTGGCATCCCTGGGGACAGGACAGTCCTGGCTGGTGATGATGAGGCTGAGCATACAGGTTTAATTTATGACACTGACCACCACTTACTGTCTGTACTCACAGGTCCCACCCTCCATGCAACAAGGTCCAGGGTCCCATAAAAACACCCCCGTCCCCGAGGGGGCATCAGCAGGCTCCTCCCCTGTCCCGGGGCGCCAGGCCTGCTTGTTCTGAGTCTCCTTATGTGGGATGACCGGACATGACTGGGCCACCTGCCGGCTCTGGCACCAGCTCCTTAGAGTCACCTACCCACCTGGGCAGCAACCTTGCTGGAACTGAGCCAGACACAGCTCTTAGCCCCTCAAACCCTCACTCAAGTCGAATGCTCAGCACGTTCACTGACCAGAGGTGAACAGAGACACACATTAATAATCACTTTTGCCAGAAACATCCTCCTCTCCGGGATACCGCCCTCTGAGTTCAGGACCCCTCTTCACAGTTCTCCACAGGCCGGCTCTGCGTCTAGACCCACAGACATTATCTGCTTCTAGCAGAGCAAACGGAGAGCAGGCACTATCACTTCACGTTTCCAAAGATATGAAAGTAGCCTGTAACTGCTAGCACCACCAATGACCTGAAAAAAGCAAATGCACTCTGTCTTCCTCCAATTACCTCATTCTCTGGGAATAAAATGAAATTTGAAACCACACAGAGGTTCTGGTGCTGAAGGGAGAGCATTAGCATAAATATTGGCTTGGCGGAACTTACATTTTTCTTGCGCTCCCAGAACTGAAGTGCTGGCTTTTTTTTTTTTTCCTCCCCTCCCTGCCTCATGCATTTTCTGAACATCAGCAGAAAACTAGTTTTGTCATCAGAAAACTACTCTGGCCTGGCTTTTAAATCTGGCTGCTGGCACCTATCGGAGAATTGATCAGGGATAACTACTTTTGACTTAAAAAATCATGTAGGAAAAGTAAAATAACCAACTGCTAAAGAGAGATGGAACCGAAGGCCATCTTGTTTGCTAACAGAGCCGGCAGGCAACCCAAGTGCTCGTTTTAATAACTGGGATGTGAGGTGTAAAGGGTGTTGCACCCGTCAGTTCACTGCATTGTCATCAGCTCCCGTGTTCAGTTCTGATCACTCACAGTGGAAACAGGCAGACAACCCGCTGTAGCAAGAATGCACTCAGCCCCAAAGCACTGGCAAACTGAAGAGTCAATTCTCGGTCCCGGAGTCTTACTTTATATCCTTACAGGTAATCCTGGTTTGAGTTCTTTGATTGAATCTAACATCTGTAGGGATCTACAGTCTGGGCCAATTGGAGTAAACCAGTGGTCCCACCTCCCATTTACCCACATACCTTTCAGAGGTATCCCTGAAAGATGAGATTTTTTTTTCCTTTTCTAAATATAACACTCTTTTAACCTATGAATTATCCCCAGTTTTAAGACCTACCCTATTCTCCAGCCACACATGACCACCTTCATTACCCAGACACAGCTTGAACTGCTACCTGTGGAGTCTCCCATGCTGTGCGTTCAAGGTTCTATTTACTTCAGCTGAGCCAGAGCAAGCGTCCCTTGGCATGTATTGTCACTTCCTCCCTGTGCTCCTGGAGTCTCTGTTGTGTGCTCTGTTGTGTATATCAAGCCCAGAGTCATGTCATCTCCTCAACAGAAGTTTGAGACCCAAACAAGCAAAGGGCAGATGATTGTCTGACCAACGACTTCATGCAGTGCCTGGCTCCTCAGAGTTGCCTATCCAACATTTGTTCAATGGATAAGGAATTGTTGTGCCCAAGGGATTAAAGCACATTCATCACGGTATAGTAGCAATAAAGAAGATATATGTGGTGTCCTTTTTCTTCAGAGAAAGCACTGATGTGTGTGAAAAATGCAGACAGTTCAAGAGCCGTTCGGAAATGGTTCCAAATTCCAGTCTGTGTCCAAACATTGTCCGGGGCTAAGCTATAAAAATGTAACCGAGCGAAACCTCCACCTGCAGGTTGTTTCCCAGAGGCAGGAAGAGAAATGGGAAATAATACCATCTAAGTCAGTGGTTCTCAACCTGGGGGTCAAACGGCCCTTTCACAGGGATCGCCTAAGACCATGGGAAAACACATATATAATTACATATTGTTTTTGTGATTAATCACTATGCTTTAATGATGTTCAATTTGTAACAATGAAAATACATCCTGCATATCAGATATTTACGTTGCGATTCATAACAGTAGCAACATTACAGTTATGAAGTAGCAACGAAAATAAATTTATGGTTGGGGGTCACCACAACATGAGGAACTGTATTAAAGGGTCGCGGCATTAGGAAGGTTGAGAACCACTGATCTAAGTGATGCACGGCCTGGGCTCTGTCTGGATGCAGCCGCAGCACAAACCTGATGCAAGCGCCCAGAGCCCATGGAAGCTTTCTTCAAGCACCTCCTCCTCCCTTGTGCTGTGAGGGAGGGAAAAAGCCGCCACTCCGGACCCGCCTGAGGAGTGTCCATTCTTAACCACACCCTCCACCGTCACAGGAAGCCCTTTCTTTTGCTCTTCCGGGCTACTTCCCTCTTCAGGGAAACCTTCACTCTCCAGCTCTGAACCCTCACACCACACACAACTGATCTTTCCTCTGTCTTCCCAAAGCTCTATTCAGACCTAGCGCAATGTTTCCCCTGACTCAGAGGGTGGTATGTACACCCCTCCCACTAGACTGTAGGACTATCCTAGGCAGAAACACTGTTTTCCAACTTTGTATGGCCAGCTTCCAGCCCGCAGGATTGAGAAAGGGGGTGCTTGGTCAGTGTCACCCGAATTGGTCCACATTTCCATTATCTCCTGCAGAAACTGCACCTACACCTTAAGCACCCTGTGGAGATAAGCCAAATTCAACTGCGAAAGCACTTTACCTCTTTCAGAACCAACACGCATTTGCCTGGTCCCACCGACTGAGGTAGCTCTGCGATCCTCCCCTTGTTTAGGTAAGGGCCTGAGAAGCACCTGTGATTGATGAAGAGCTGAGGACAGCAGTATTTCCCGTTGACAGAACCTGTGGGAAGAGCAACACAGCTAAGACTTTAGGAAGCAACAAAAAACTTGCTTAGTCCACTTGGTTGGCAAAATTACCCAGAGGCACACTGTGACTTAATATCAGAACGTTTTATAGACACAATACTGTCTTAGAAATCCTGATTGTTTTTCTAGCATATAAAATAAATTTTCTGTTTACCATGCAGTATTCAAGATACACATGAAATGCAAAAATTAAGACAATGATAACTAAGAGGGGAAAAAATCACATTGCATAGCTAAGTTCCCCTGTGTGTCCTATCCCAGAAATTCCTCTTAGAGGTAGCCACTACCCTGCATTGGTAGTTTGGTAGTTATCATTCCCATGCAAGTCTATAAATTCTACCACACACATATAGCACATATAGGTATGTGTGTAACAACAAACCATATATATATATATATTTAAAATACTCCATAAATGGTTTTCAGCAAAATTTGGTGGTTCAACATGAAGTTTTTGAGATCCACCCAAGTTGGTAAATAATTATCCAGAACATGTATTCATTGTTTTCACTTCATTTTTCATTATTCCATTGTAAGAATATATTACAATTGAGTTTTCCATTCTTTTATTGATGGACATTACGTCGCTTCCACTTTCTCAATGTCACCAACAGTGCTTTACTGAATACACTGTAAAAATCATCTGCGTACCTTTAGTTTTACTAGATACGGCCAGACTGTTCTCCCAATGACCGCCCAAATGGATCCTCGAATAAGCAGGGTAAGAGGGCCTTCTCTCCCCCCCAGGCCAACAGAGGCATTGCAGGGCTTCTTCATTTTGCCATTCTGATGGATGTGAAGTGTCCCTTACAAGGGCTTTGATTTCCATTTCCCTCACTGTTCTTTCAACTTAGAAAGTGAACCAGGCAAGTGATTGGTCTAGTTCAGTGGTCGGCAAACTCATTAGTCACAGAGCCAAATATCAACAGTACTGCTTCAAAATAGACTTGCCCAGGCCGAAAACCGACTTCTGCGCATGGGCCACGAAGTTTCTTTTTTTTAAAAAAAATATATTTTATTGATTTTTTTACAGAGAGAGAGGGAGAGGGATAGAGAGTTGGAAACATCGATGAGAGAGAAATATCCATCAGCTGCCTCCTGCACACCCCCCACTGGGGATTTGCCCACAACCAAGGTACATGCCCTTGACCGGAATCAAACCTGGGACCCTTCAGTCCGCAGGCTGACGCTCTATCCACTGAGCCAAACCGGTCAGGGCTGGGCCACGACGTTTCAATCGCACTGTACGTGCGCCCGCACATGGTATTTTGTGGAAGAGCCACACCCAAGGGGCCAAAGAGCCGCATGTGGCTCGCGAGCCGCAATTTGCCGACCATGGGTCTAGTTGTACTGGAGCTACCACGGGGAAAAGGAGAATTACTACACGGTAAGATGTCACTCCAAACTTCTTGATGCCTAAAAACACAGACTGCGGCTTCACTTTCAGCCAAGGACTCAGGCTCTGCCACTGCTGCTCCAAGCTAAGCTACACTCACAATGCCATTTCTGTAGAACAACTGTTATAGTTAAGATGGTAATTTAACAATCAAGGAGTTTTGTTCTCATGGGACTTCAACTAAAAAACAACAGGTAACAAGAGGGAGTAAAATAACAATTACAGACTCTGAATGAGTAGCAGACACAGTACTTTTAAAACCATTCTAAGTTTGAATGCTATACAGCAGGCTAAAAACTTTAGTCTACAACTTCATTACACGGGAATTTTTTGGCAGGATTACTCTGCCCAGACCTTTAGGAAAAAACCGTTTTAGTAAGTCTACTCATAAAACTGCTCTCTTTATGATAAAGATAACTTTAACTAATAGGGTTTTTCCACAGCATAAAGCTTTTAAACCTGGAATTCAGAGCAGGTTTCACTTTGACTAGAAAATAGAATTCTTAATCAAATATATTACTGAGTGTACCAACGTGTCTGTAATCAGATTTGTGGTCAAAGGCTAATTCACATTTGCGTTTCCAAAGATCACTGTAAGATATAGGACTTTACATATTAAAAACATATTATTCACAACCAGTTATTCAAACACAGGGGTTTTTAAAAAACGATTCAAAAGCCCGCAGGGATTTAAGTATAAACCACTACGGTAAAAATGCAAGTGAAACTGACATAAAATGTAAAAAGGGAATGTCCGATAATTATTACTTTCAACTCCTTTTGCTGCATGATTTTTCATGATACAGCCTTAAATGGGCTCATAATTTCTAATTAGCACATGGACCCTTTTCCTGTAGACCACGAGAACTGTCTAGAGCTACTGACCAAAAAGCAGAAAAGAAGAGGCACAAGGAATTTAACTTAGAAAAAAAACACACATTTTTATAACGTTATCCATTAATAAGCAGCAACAGAGTACAATAGGCTCAAAGCTGAAATATTCACATATTGACCTAAAAATATATTCATGTCTCCACTCAGAACAACAAATTGAAACGTGACAGAGAGCCCTAAAATGGGTTCATTTACCTGTGGTTTCCAGGTGAGGGAATAGACAATGGTCATGAGGTATTTTCTCAACAGGCACTGTGGATGTCAACCTGTTGATAAAGAAAACAAAACTCTCATGGGTGAACACTGTATGGAAAACCATTGCATTCCAAAGTCTTTTTACAACTTAAAGCGACTATTAGAGAAATCCAAGCTAGGAGTCTAGTAAGATAGGATGTGTGCATCTAGGAGCAACCTCACTAAGAATATACAAAAAGATGATTGAGATTGTGCTCAAATTCTTGTAATAAACCTAAGACACCTCACCCTTAAGTGGTCATCACTGATTAATGAGGTTCTTCTAGGTCACTCCTGGGCTTGTCTTTTGTTATAGAATTATAATAATGTCCTTAATGATATTTTAGACATGAAGAAACATCAACTTACACTGACTTTAATTAAAGTCAGATTTCTCTCTAATGTCTAATTGAAAACCACTTCTGCTGACCTTTGGTTTTGGGTGACTGTGTTTGTGTAGGTCATGGCCACACTGAGAACAAGACTTTCAAAGAAAACCTTTCAATGATGGTTCTTAAAATGTGCAGTAGGCTTATTCTAAGACAAAAGTCTACATTCTAGTTCAGGAAAAAGTTGCGGAATAAATACAAAGCGATGTAGCCTTAGGGGAAAAAAGAATGGGTTTCACAGGGTGTTTAGGTTGGCTGGGTAGAAAACACACTTGAAAAGCTACATAAAGTTGAAGTAAACCAATAGGAGAGATATAAGTTGGGTCGTCTATGGCACTGGTTCTCAAAGTGGGGGCCTCTAAACTGGAGGATCAGTGTGACCTGGGAACTTGTTAGACATGCTGAGTTGGGTGTTTTGGAGATGGGCGCCTAGCTGCCTGTGTTTGACGAACAGTCTGGTGACTGATGCAAAGAAAGGGTGAAACCCGCCGATCCACGGACTGCACATTTAGGAGTTGGGTATTCAAATATGGATTCAATGATGAAACCATTATTTTATTATTTATTCTCTATTTCAATGTTGGAGTCACATTATTAACTTGATACACTGTTTAGAAATGAATGTGCAAGAAATTCTGTTATCCACATTTCAATAACAATGCAGCTTTTATTCAATTTCATTTTATTTAAATTTAAACATGGAAAATGCGGTTTTTAATTTCATTTCCATCAGTAGATTAAGAAAACAGAAAGGCTTGGCAAGGGATATGTATGTTAGTATATTTTAGATATTTTCCAATATATAAAACTGTTACCCCCAGTTACAACTTTCCAAAAACATACTGCTGGCATCTGTACAGGATGCCCAAATACCCTTTTTCCTCATAAAATTTCAGCTGAAATGTGAGATAACCTATACTTATTCAATATAGGACCTACAAATTTTATACACAGAATCCAATTTAACTGTCCTAAAAACGCTGAGAAATAGGTATTTTACAATTGAGATGAAAAAATATTAAAGCAACTTGCAAAAGTACACCCAGTTGGGAGGTGGCCAAGCTGGGCAGCAGCCCTGAAGTCTCTCTCAGCAGGCTCAGCCATGACTAGTAGCGGGGAGCATAGTTGGTGGGGCTTTGTGTCCTCTAGGGCATTAAGAACCACTATCACAGAGAGCCATCTATATATATAAAGAGCCAGGGGCTGTCACATCCAAAACAACAGAACAGATGACTGAACAGACTGAGTGGGGTGACCAGGCCGGCAGGGGGGGCAGTTAGGGGTGATCAGGTCGGCAGGCAGAGGCATTTAGGGGTGATCAGGCTGGCAGGGGGGCCAGTTAGGGGCGACCAGGCAGGCAGGCAGGTGAGCAGTTAGGAGCCAGTGGTCCTGGATTGTGAGAGGCAGTCGGACATCCCCTGAAGGGTCCCAGATTGGAGAGGGTGCAGGCTCGGCTGAGGGGACCCCCGCGCCTCCCCCCCCGCCCCCGCATGAATTTCGTGCACCAGGCCTCTAGTCACTAATAGTGAGTGAGACTAGGGTGTCCTTCTGGTATGCTGAAGTGGAATCAAAGTGAGAAGTTACAATTTGGAGTAGAAGTTCCTTTAGAAGCACGCCCTGTGCCTTGCACAAAATAGGTGCACAGTAAATCACAGATATATTTTACTGTCATCTTTACTACTGTGCTATGTGTTAGACTAACTCTAATAACAACAGCCATGCTTCCCATCCTCTATAAAGACACTCCATAGTTTATCAGTTCATTTTTGAAAACTAAACAAGCAGAAAAACAAAAAAGAAAAACTTACTGTTTTTCTGGTTGCACAACTGCAATCTTTCTCTTCTGTTGTGCTGTAAAACAGGCAAAAAAAATCAGCTTGGTTAACTAGTTGGGTAAAAGCATTTCAAAAAATGGTTTTAAACCTGTTAGTTTTAAAGTAGCAATTTAAATACTGAAAAGTTATTTTATTCATGCCACAATTTTATCTTAATTGCTTCAAGCATAAAATAGACTTTGACTTATCAGAAGTGAGGTCTAAATAGAATTTAGTACATTTAATCTTATCACTACACACTGTCTATTTCACTTTAAAATGTGATTTAATAAGAAAGAAAAATAGCACACATATCATACCTCACATGAACACACCTGGTAAGATGAATTGTTGCAAGTACGATTACCAGATGACTTTTTTCCCCAAAGAAAGTGTGATAAGTCAAATAATGTTACCATAACGGCTACTCCCAAATTAGGATTAGAGGCATGTTCTTAAACTAAAACATTTTATTATTGAAAGGAGGGTTGGTATCTACCAAATGTGTCTATGAAATAGTAACATAAAACAGTCAATAATAATTTTTTAAAAAGAACATTTCCATTTCAGATTTATAATTGATTAGAACCACCTTAACAAAGACAGATCAGAGCTTTTGGCATCTATTTTGGTACAAATATTCCTGAAATTTCCAACATAAGCATAAATTAGTCCCAACAAAACATCTAAAGCTGTTGAGAGTTGGTGAGTTTAGACTTAGAGGGAAAAATAAAAAACGATGACTTGAGATTGAAATAATTATCCTGGGCTCAAAATTTTAGAAATATTTTAAAGTGAGGGTAATATATTACTCTCATTAGCTCAGTCTCACTGAACAGTATGGTATCTGAGAGATAAGAATCCTTTAAAATTCATTTTGCCTACAATCAGAGCTACCTTCTTTATTTTCACACAGTGTCCTACCCTAGTCTTGATGAATATCGATTAGGAGGACTCTAGATAAGTCCCCTTCAAAATCTGTTGACATCAGGAAATAAAAGGCCAACTCTGAGATGGAACTTTCTCTATAGCATTGCTCTGAAATTCTACATAAGTGATCCACATGTACATGTACTGTACATGTAATATACACTCAAGTGTACTGCTAGAAAGAAGTAAAGCTAGCATATAAATTACATTTTAAATACAAGAAATATAATCTGTGTCATAAAAATTAAACCCCTTAGCTTTAAGGAACCAAAATTTTAAATAATATTTTTGATATACCTATGGTAGAATATTTAATGCCAAGGTTTATTAGGTTTGAAGATTTTCAAATGGTACCTTTTCAAGATAATGACCTAATATTATAAAAATGTACCTTAAAACACACTATTGTACATACAGGATGTCCCCAAAAAAGTATGCACATTTTAGCAGGTGACAACTCAATTTTCAAAATCAAATGTATTTTAATAAACACTGCCTTTATAATTATTCGCAATGTGTGTATACATTTTTTGAGACACCCTATATTTAAGCGTGTGTATTGTGGGATTGGTTAACCACTAATATTGTTTTTTTCCCACTAATATTGTTTTAAGTTGGTACTGAATGTGATGTAATGCTCTTTTCAAAGTACAGTTGAAATCTCACTGGTCAATTAGTGCTAATAGTAGTTAAGAGTTTATATCTATGTCACTAAATTATTGGGACCAATTATGTATGACTCCTTTGGGATAAACCTCATCAAAAAATGTAGTCCTTTCTCAGATATGCTAATATAAAAATATAGTAGTTAGTCTAATTTTTTTAATAAAAATAATGAGCTGTATACAAAACAGAGAGAAGATTCCAGATATTTATTTTTGCCTCTCTGTGACCTTCAATTGTCCAGTCATTGTGACTTAGTTTATCAATCTGTGAAATGTTCATCTCATGCACTTAAAGAATAAATGAGATTTAAAAAAATTGGTGCTCTGTGGGAAATTTAAAACCTTTTCTTTGTTTACAACTTGGCTATCCTATCTTAACAAAATTGCCTATTTATTCATGCCAACCCTGGAGGTTATCCATCTGGGCTCCAAACTAGGCCATACTTACGGACTATTTTGTGAGGTGTAGTCAAAGGGTAAGAATTCGCTTCACACCAGCCCACTGGGAAGATGTCCATGGATTCAACATCAACAATAAACTCTGGAGCAGGAGTCTGCAGGCCTGCATTGAAAAGTTAAGACAATAGGTACAAACAGGTTTTACCAAAAAAGATACTGAGGAAGAAAGGAAAATACTGAGCATCCCTGAGACTGAGGAAAATATACTCCTGGATATTAAACACAAAACTGATAATAGCCTTATGACAGACACAAATGCCTGAAATATAAAACAGCAAGAGCATAAGGGGTTCAAATAGGGTGGGGGAGGGGGTGGAAAGGAGAGATCTTCGGACTGAAAATGGGAGGAGGAAGTAACCCAGAAACAATGCATCAGAGCCAGAAAAGCTAGAAGAGGGAACAAGTCTCTTCCTTTCCTAAGAATTTGAAATTAAAGAAATGTGGCTGAGCTTCAGGTGGGGGCCACAGGGCACACTTTTAAGCCACCAAGACATTCTTCACCCAGCACCAAGCAAAGATCAGCCTTTAGCTAATGAAAGTTAAACATGACTTTCTCTATAACACCAATTATGAGCAGTGAAAACAGATGACACAATTTCTCTAGGGAACATGTTCCTTTATAAGTTTGATTGGAGTTGATTATTTTGAATTCAGTTTGTGGCTTGCAGACTTTGGCCATGTCACACCACCGTCTGTATGTAGTATTGTCTTTTTAGTGGGGAACCTACCTACTTCCTGTTTCGTAATCATAATAATCATAATAAATCATAATAAATGCTGTGATAAATAAGCATCATAGTGGAGCCTCTGAAAAGGAGGAGAGATCTGGATGCAATACCTGCATTAGCTAAAGTTTCAAGTAGCTCTAGCTACTGAGGGAATAAAATTAGAATACAGAAAACTAGTGAAAAGAAGAAAATTCTACTCTGAATCAATAGTCCTTTAAACAAAAAAACACTCTGAGAGAAGATACTCTTGAACCAAGAATCAAAAGATAAGGGATCTATTAATAGAGATTGACTAATGGGCTCTGACCACTTAAATCTTAGTTTGCTTTGGTTTCTTCACTGAGAACCAAGATGAAAATAACACAGTGGAGCCTCGCACACATCCAGGTCATCACACGACATCTAATGATTTTTTAATCATATCACCTCAAAAACTTAACTTCCTAAAGCTAAATACCAGCAAACACAAAATGTGAGCTACAGTTATGTTGATTCCCAACTTCTCAAATCTCATTCTAGAGTAGACATTGTGAAAACAGAGTATGTTATTTGTCAGTGGAGGTTCCCAATTTAGTGTCAAACCAAAATAGTGATGCATATAGTGCAATCTGAATGCAGATTCTGGTATATGTGAGCACTGAAAACAGATTCGTAGACACACATATTATCATTGCTATTAGTCACTTTAAACTTTTGATTTGTTCCCAAAGAAAGCAATTACTGTTATTATCAATCTTAACTTACTTTTTGCTTAATTCTCCTATAATTTAAAAGATATATGCTAAATAAATGCAATCATGTTTATAGGGATTACTTTGGAATAGAAATCATTTGTCTCATACAACTCAACTGTGAAAATTAATAAACAGAAACCTCATTTAAATTTTGTAATTAATTTGAGAAGAGAAAGAAAGAAAGAGAAGCGTGCATTTGTTGTTCCACTTGTTTATGCATTCGTTGGTTGATTCTCGTATGTGCCCTGACCAGGACAAACCTGAAAACTTGGCATATCCAGATGACACTGTAACCAACTGAGCTACCTGGCGAGGGCAAACAGAAACCTCATTTAGAATGGAGGTTAGAAGAGAGAACTCTCACCCAAGTGTCACTCAATATGCACTCACTGCTGATCCCAAGGGAAGAGAGGTACCTGCATCTGACAGGAAGTGGTACTACTGTACCACCTCGCAGGAAGAAGCGTCTTCCTTGCCCAGTAACAGCTCAGCCCATGAGAGACCACCGCAACTCAGTCAATGAGAAGTCACTATACTTGAACTTTCAGTTGCTCCCAATGGACTCTTGCTTTACAACAGCCTCTCCCAACTCCAGAAAAGACTGCTTCTCTCCTTTGTTTCTGAACTTCCATGATGTGCCATTAGGCCACATATCCAGAATTACAATTCTTTGTTGTTCCCAAATAAGCCCATTTTGATGAAGAAATACCTGTCTATTTGTTCAAGGTCAACAATCAATATTTAACCTATTTGTCAAATAAGTAACAAGACATCCCAAACAAACAAAAGGTAAAGAAACTCTCCAAGTAGCTCAAAGGTGGAAGTGATTTTTCTTGTCCCCAAGGGCACACAGTTCTCCAGAGGTTGCAATGAAGAGGGTTGTTGGGTTATTTCCCTGTTACACAGGGGATGAAGTTGTTCTAGTCTTCAAACTCACAAAAATAGTGTGTGTTTCTCAGTTACTCAACAATTTTGCTCACAAATTGAATTCAGGTACTAGATATGTTTCTATTTCCATATTTACGTTTAGGTACAAATGACATTTTCAAGGTCAAAGTGGCATAAACTGAATGTTATAGCTTATTCCTTCCTGAATTATGACTTTTGTCTTCCAATGTTCTGCTAATTCAAACATCACATCATATTAATGCTTTAATATATACACTCTAACAATGTATACATTAATACATTTCTAAGGCTGTCTTTACAGTACTTTAAAATTCTTTGATCATGCTTTCCATTCAATTAAGCAAATATTTATGAGCTGCAATGTGTCAGCTATCATATCCTCAAGAAAGTTATAGTCCTGTCTTCCCTCCACCCCCAAATCTAGCCCATTAAGGCAAAAACTAATGGAAAAGTGGGTTCTTTGTCATCCAGGGAAGATTTCCAATCCTGTTCTGAATGATGGTACCAATTCTTTATTTCTCTTTATCAACCTTATGAATCTGGATACATCTGGCTGGACTCGGAATAGTTTTTTAGAACATAATCTCTTATAATCCATTAAAAATGTATACGGTGCTCTTTTCTTGATTATTCTAGGATTGCCAAAACCACGTATGCAAAGCTAGATGCTCCAGTAAGGACCGCTGTAACATATTTATCATTTCACAGGAAAATCTCTTATAAATGACACAAGACCATGGCTCAATCTCTGACTTTATTTCTGCTGCATCAAGTCAATATGGACTCTACTTATTTGTTCTTATCCAGATCCTTCATTTAAAAAAAACTTCAGGAAGCCTAAACCTCCATCTATGGAGAAGGAATTAAATAACTATCACACATCCATAAGATGGAATATCCTGCCGCAGTGAAAAAGTATAAGAAACCTCTTTATATACTTATATGTAAAAACATGTATGTATAGTTGAATACACAGAGTTCCGCAGGGTGCAGAATACTCTGTATATACAGTAGGCTACCATCTGTTTAAAAAAGAAAAATAACATATTTTTATATGTGCATGAAATAAATCTGGAAGAAAAAGCAAAATACTAATCCAGTGGGTGTCTGCTCAAAAAAGAACTGAGTGGCTGTAGGCTGAGGAGACAGGAGAGGTAGAGAGAATCTGACTAAAGATAGTTTCACTTATTTGGGGCCTTTGTGAATGAATTACTGATTTTACAATGACAACCTCACTATCATCACAATAACAACAACACAACACAAGATATTCGAAAAGGAGGAGTATGGATACACCCTAGCATACATAAATACAGTATTGCCATATAGGTCAGATTAATGAAGGACAAATCTGTCCTTAAAAGGGAACAAAGCTAAGCTAGGAATTATTTCACTGCTAAGAGGAGAAGGACTTTCCATACTCACAAAGCAATTGTACAAGCACCTAAATTTGTAAGAATCACTTTGGAACCTTAAAAAATATTGCAATTTGCTGTATCCAGAGACTGTGTCCTCAGACCAGAGGCTACCCTCCACTTCTACAAAACCCCACTTGCCCTTCTAAATACAGGAACTGTATCAGGGTTCAATCCAGCAGATGACTCTGGCCCTTGCCATTGACTGTGACCTGTTCTACTCAGAACATCAGGATGAAAGAAAGAGACAGTTTGTGATGATGCTGAAATCTTGGAAACACAGCCCTATCACATTACATAATTGCTTCATTCCCAGCAAACTATGAAAGAGAACAAACATGGCGAGCACAGCAATAGCAGATGCTACTGGGGGACTGGAGACAAGAGGGATGTGAGGGAAGAGACTAAGAGCCAACTGTGAGAAAGATAATGTATTTTCATTGACTCCAGTATTAGAACTGGAACGACCCCTCCATCTCAGTTAAAAGCTGGGATGGGAAGAAAGGCAAAGTTATTTAAGGAAACAAGTTCACCTTGTTCAGTGCCCTCATTAATAGTTAAAGGTCACACCAAATTGTGATGGGCTCAGCATGTGATTAAGAGGTACAGCACTAGAAGGATGAAGAGCTGATTGATTATGGTGAGCAAGCAAGAACTGGATGCTGGAAACCCCATGGGCCATCTGTCATGCTTCTTCCATTGTCAGATGCCCATCCAGGAGTAGGATTTTAGAGTATCCCTTTGTCAGCTCCGGAACTAAATTCCCAAGGAATAAAGAGAGGAGCGAGACTGTGGCTGGCAAGATCCAGATGTGATAGAATACAGACAACCTAAAGGAAAACCCCCATTTTATAGATCAGTAAACTGAGGTACAGAGAAAGATCAAACAGCCAGCAAGTGGCACACTCAGGTTTTCAATCCAAGTAGTCTAGTTCCAGAGCCTCAGAAAGCATATAAGGTGGGCAGCTTTCTCTTCCTCCCCCTTCTCTCCCCTCCCCTCCCCTCCCCTATCTCTCCTTTCCTCCCCTTCCCTCTCCTCTCCTCTCCTCCTGCGCTTACTGTTTCTGATTTATCTAGCAAGCCTTATTCCTCTTAGGGCCCCATATCCCTTCTGCAGAATTCCATTACGAGGTAACCATTGCCACCTACCACAAAGATGAAGAGCCAGATCTACCCTCTCTCTACAGGCAGATGATGTCAGGGTCAGACCTTTTGAACCGGAATGTGGTCAGTCAGAAGTCATAGTCATCACAACGGCAGCTTGAAAGCCCAAACTTTGCTTTGGTTCCTGCTGCAAAGCCTCCTGGAACCTCCATCCAAAGGCCTTCCTCCCAGATTCCCATTTTGTTGCGACAGCCAGAGCCAGTTCTGTTGCTGGCTACCAAGTACCTGTCTAACTGCTCCATAGCTTGGGGGACAAAGCAGATTTGTTGTGACGAAGGCCTGCTAGCAGGGGCAGCTCCCACTGCAGGGCCACCCTCTCTGACTGCAGGAAATTCTGCCCCATACCCTGATCTGCTAAAGCAGCTCCCCGCAACAGTGCCTCCTGCAGGCCATACCTCTTTAAAGGTTTAACCACCCACATTGACTAGAATGTGTAATTCTAGTGTAATTAGAATTGTGTAATTCTTTTCACATTTGCATTTCCCTTTGTTTCATTTTAGCAAGTCTAGCGAAATGCTTTTTAACCACCTGACTTTTTCACAAATCATGGGAAGGCTTAAGGGGCAGTTTTCTGCACCTGGTCTCCTAAAGAGAAGAGGTTGACTCACAAACGTTTCTTTGAAACCTGCCACACTCTGCCCATTTGACCTCTTAGAGTCCGTTACAAACTCCAGTGTGCGTGTGAATCACATGGGGAGGGGACTTTAAAGGCAGACCCCCAGGAATCTACATTTTAGCAGGACTCCCGTTGATTGTTGGTTATAATATGGAAGGTAGTTTCCTGGTACTGAACCAAGCATACGGAAAAACTGACCAAGAAGTCTTCGGATTTTAGCTGACAAGTATAAAATACCTCTTGTCGTTTCAAAATTTGGTTTGCAAAACAACCATTCTTAAGGGGCTGCTGTACCCTACATCACTTTCTCATTAGGGACCACAGATTTTACTTATTCCTCATGTTGATTCAGCAAACACTGCGTGAGCGCATGAACTCGTGTACAGACACTGTGCTATGTGATAGGCTATAGGCGAGGACGGGAGCACAGCCCTGTGCAATGGCTCACAGCACCAATCACAGAACATTTCAGCATTTAATACCAAGAAGAAATGAGGTTTTAGGACCCACAGAACTTAAAAACTGGAGGTACAGAAACTGGAGGTAGAGTCCATTCTTGACTGACATCACGGGCAAGAAAGCATAATCGGTATCTCAAGCAGAAAGGGACTGTAGCAGGAAACTAGGTGCCTATAAGATCCTTGGGAGGGATGGATGACAGAGGTCATGAGACCCACAATGGGCAATTTTAAGGCCACTGTGGCATCCCATGGGCAGGAAGCCGTGATCTGTGGCCTGCCACTGGCTCCAGTCCCTCTCACAACTCCAGTTTGTGAGGGAACATTGGGACTGCTGCAGCACCCCCAGAGACCCTTGGAGCTTAGGAATAGAAATGGATGCACCAAGTCCAGCTGCTAACACTCCAGGGCCTTGCTTGCCAGCAGGAGCAGCAGCAGGGAGGTCGCCCTTTGAAGCTCACATGAGTAGATAGATACCAGTGGTGGAGCCTGTTTTGAACTCAGTGCGCTATCGTGTATGGGCATCTGGGAGTTAATTCTAAGGTCCCCAGCCCCTGCAGGCAGAGAGGAAGGTGGGCTGTGGTGCTGAGAGCCAATCAGCCATCCCAGCATCCCCTCTTTCCACTTAATTGTAAAAGAATCTGTGTTGTGTGGAAATCAAACATACAACATCTTCGGTTCCATAATGAAATGTTGGAGGCTTATTCTCTTCAGCAAGTTAGCCAAGAAACAGTAAGTTTCATTTTTAACATTAAGTAACAAAGCAAGACATGTGTTGTTAGCTCTGCTCACATGTCGGGCATGTCAGTGGATAAACGGGAGGCATTTTCAGTAATGACTCACACCCCTGATATGGCGGTGTCATGCCCCTTCCCCTTAGTAATTTCCTTTCCTATCTCCACTTTCCCCTCACATTCAGTCTTCCTCTTGTGAAGAAGTGTAATATACATTTCCATCCCTTGCTTTGGTTGTTTTGTTTTAATGAAGATGTTTTCTTTATGTGTAAGTTCCTCTGCAGTCATGTGCAATTCCCCTAACCACTCCCCTGCCAACCCGATTGCCCCCAACTGCCCTCCCCTGCCAGTCTGGTCACCCCCAACTGCCTTCCCCTGCAGGCCTGGTTGCCCCCAACTGCCTTGCCCTGCTGGCCTGATCACCCACAACTGCCCTCCCCTGACAGCCATCTTGTGGCCGTGGGTGCCGTCATCTTTGAGGGCGTGGCAGTCAGTTAGCATACTCCCTCCTTATTGGCTGTGGGCGCTGCCATCTTTGAGGGAGTGACAGTCAATTAGCATATTCCCTCCTTATTGGCTGTGGGCGCCACCATCTTTGCAACAGTGTGAGGGGCAATTAGCAAATTCCCTCTTTACTAGATAGGATGCTCAGGCGGGTACACACGATTACCTAGAGCAGAGTATTACCATAGAGAAAGCACGACAATGTCCTTCTCAAAACACAAAGCCCCTTCATCAGAAACTGCCCTTGCTATCAGCAGCTTGTGAGAGCTTGAGATTCTTTCCAAATAGGCACCTAAAATAATATTACACAAATTTCATATTTTATTCAGTGCTCCCCCTTCAACATCGGCTCCTTTATAGACACTTAAAGAATGATCTGACTTCAAGAGAAGTGAAATATTAAATAAAAATCACCCTTTCAATGACCTACAAGTGGTCAATTAGCCATGTGTTGAAAATACTTCAAATCAATTTAATGCACAAATATAACTGATAAATTGTTATGAAGTACTTTATAAATTCAAAGTGTCGAATAAATGGTCTATAATCAGCATCACCATCATCATAAAAGTACTCAACAGGCACAAAGTGACCGTAGTGTATCGCTGACATTTTGTCCCCAGGACTGAGGAAAGAAAACACTATTACATAAAACTGAAATAATGAGAAATAAGTACCGGCAAGCTTGCTATTATATCAAACGGTAAATCTTCAGTAAGTGCCCAAACCAAAAACTAACAAAAACCCCCACACAATTTAAGACCGTTCAAGGAGATTGAGTGGAATTTAATTTATTTGATGAGACAAATGCATAATTTTGACCAATAATCCCAGGTAGATGATAGTCAACAGATTGTTTAAATTTTTTTCTTTAAATGTGCAAGGCCTGGAAAAATGGATAATTTACTTTCTGACCTGCTTCAGAAGACTAACTAACTCATTACTACAGAATGGAAGTACTCTGAAGAATAAGCAGAAGAGCTTCCATGTACTGACTTGTATTTTTTTTGCTATAAATCCACAAATTTATATCCAAAGAAAAACAGCAATTTGAATATAAATAAATTATGACTGCCAAATAATTTTAACCACAATGTGCTAAATAATAATGATGATACATGGACTCTGAACATTTCCAGTTTTGTTTTCAAATTAAGAATGTAAACAAGACTCCAATCTGGTGATATAGCTTAGCCTAGTATTAGGTAGCATGTTCGATTAAGGATTCAAAATCATCCAAGAGCTCTTATTTTTCCAAAAGCAGTTGAATCAACTTTACATGTAATAATGAAAATAAGGTCACACTACTGCTGTGGCTGCAGAGATATCGCTATTATGCCTGTGTCTACATTTTGGCTACTTCTACTAGAGGCCATTTTATTTGAAAAATAAAGCAATCAACTTTTTGAGAATTTCCTCTTATTTCAAACTAGAGGCCGAGTGCATGAATTCGTGCATGGTTGAGGTCCAGCTGGCCAGCCCAATTGGAATCGGGCTGGTGGGGGCAGGGAGGGGTCATGGGCAGTTGGTCGGCTGGCCCGACTCCGAATTGAGGGCAGGACCAGCCAGTGGGAGGGGCCACAGGTGGCCACACCCTGGTCGAACTCCTGGTTGAGGGGACAATTTGCATATTAGCCTTTTATTATATAGGATTGGAAATCTTAAACCATGGTAATGTTTTAAACTATTTTCTGGGAATTAACGACACCTATGATGTTTAGCTAAAATCACTGCTCTCTACCTTTCCCACTCTCCTGAACTGTAATGTTGATGAGATGGTAGGCCTATCTAAAAACTTTCAATGCTTGTTAGACCTGCTTACTGATGAAATAAGCATGAAGATATTAGCAGCAATTCTATGACCTTCCAAACTTTCTAGTCCAATGGTAATACAAGCATGTTAAAAGATCTAAAATATAGACCAGGAAAGCTAACATAACTTCATGATTCATATCTAGTCTTATTGTTTTTTCATAAACACTTTAAATAACTATTGAGTGCTGTGAAACTAAAAAACAATCAAACAAACAAAAAACTCAAAGTATTTTAAATCACAGAAAGATGGGAAAAACTTGGAGATCAAATTCATTTCAACTCTTTCTCATTGAAAATATAACATCTATAAAATATAGTTTCTATCTAAATTCAAAATCTGATCAAGGTTTTGTTTACAAAGTATATTATCCTGTGAATTATCTGTATAATTGTAAATAAAATGTAGCTATAAAGAACAGTTTAAACACCAACAAACAAGTATAAATCCTGTTTATTATACAGGGGTGGGCAAAAGTAGGTTTATAGTTGTGAATATACAAAACAGTTTATTCTTGTATTATTATTTATTAATTATTTTATTATTTATTTGTATTACAAGTATAAACCTACTTTTGCCCATGCCTGTATATTTGGGGAGAAAGTTGTCTCCATTTACTATTTTAAGGAAAATTAAACAACCATGGAAGAAACCAAAGTAAGGGTATTATTCACATTAAAATATACAATTCTATCCTCATAATAACCAAGACTTCATAATAACCAAGACCTCAAATACCAGTCTTAGTGACTCATATTAATTTAATTGTGACATTAGCTTTTATAATCATAGATGTAAAAAAGCCCACTGTGTTCCAAACATAATTATCACTCCAGCATCTCATTTCATGAAATTATTAAATTAAAATGAGAGCCTCTGTACAAACTTGTATTTGATTAGTATCACTTACTTGAGAACACTGAATAATTTAAGAGCTGTTTAAGTAAAAGGAATACAAAAAGGACAGTTCTAAGACCTGCTGGATGGATCCTAATTCTCCAGAATGGTTACAAAGCGGGCATACCTTCCAGGTGAAGCCACAGCAACCGCCCCTTCACCCTCACAACAGAGGCCACACAGAGCTCTCCTGGATTCCTGGGGTTTACGGCTTCAAGCTTCATGTTCTTTGTGAAACCCCGGCTGAATGATGTCTGAAAGAGAGAAATGACACTGAGCCATTGGCACCACAGCAAGACAGCGCGCAGCAACAAAGCTGGCCAACTGAGGAAGCAGACAGGCGCACAGGCACACGCGCACGCACAGACCTTATTTATCAGACGAGCAGGCTTGTCTTTCCCACCACTCATGGAGAAAGAACCATGCCTTCTTCATTTGTATCCTAGAAATTAGAGCTCTGCTTGGCACATAGCAGGTGCCTAATAATATGTGTTGAATGAGTGAGAGGATGAACACATGATCTCTTTCCAGCCACATATGCATCCTTACTCCTACAGATTCACTGAGATGCTAATCATTTCTTCCACTTCCCTAGATTCCTCACCAAGATCAGATCCTGGCACATTTGAGGTGGTAAGGACCGAGATCAAGGCTCTACCTTGAAGAGTGTCCTTTCGCGTGTCTCTCAGTGCAGGTGTCCTGGTGATGAATTCCCAGAGTTTTCCTTTATCTGAAATTATCTTTATTTTTCCTTTCTGCTTTTGGCTTATTTTTATTTACTTTCTATATTCACATTTCAAAAATTTACATATAGAAAAATGCACTCTTTTTGGTGCAGTGCTCTACGAGGGCAAGGCTGTTAGGGGAATACATACAGTCATGCGGCCACAACCACACTGGAGATACTGAGCAGTCCCTTCGCCCCCAAAACCCCTTGCACTGGCCTTTCGGTAATTATTTCCTTCCAGTAGCTCTGGACCACTGATTTGTTTTCTGCTCCTAAAATGCCACCTTTTCCATAATGTCATATAAGTGAAATCATATACTACGTAGCCTTTGAGTCTGGCTTCTTTCACTAAGGAAACGGCATTTGGGCATCACTCACGCTATTGCACGAATCAGTAATTTATTCTGTGCTACTGCTGAGTAGTTTATGTAGATATACCACAGTTTGTCCATCATTTACCAGTTGCAAGACATGTGAGTCATTTACAATTTTTGGTGATTGTGAATAAAGCCACTATAAACATTTAAGCACATGTTGTTGTGTGAACATTAATATATTAGTCAGCTCCGGCTGCCATAAAATACCACAGAGCTGGTAGCTTAAATAACAGAAATCTATTTTCTCACACTTCTGGGGACTGGAAGTCTGAGAACAGAGTGTCAGTGGAGTCAGTGGCATGCAAATGGCAGTCTTCTCCTTGTGTCTCCACCTGTTCTTTCCTCCAAGCTTGTGGCGTGTGCTCTTCTTATCGGGACACTGGATTAAGGCCCACCATATGACCTAATTTTACCTTAACTACCTCTTTAAAGACTCTAACTCCAAATACAGTCATATTCTGAGGTCCTGGGGTTAGGCCTTTAAAGCATGAATTTTGGAGGGACATAATGCAGCCTGTAACACTGTTTTCATTTCTCGAGAAACAGGATTGCTGGACCATATGGTAAATCTATAATAGTAAAAGCATAATATGCTAATTAGACTGGACAGCCAAATGACCTTCTGGACATCTTTCCAGACGATCTTCCAGATGAAGCCAGGGATGCGAGGGCCAAGCCCCTTGCATGAATTTCATGCAGCAGGCCTCTAGTGTACATATGTTTCTAAAAAACTGCCCCCCAAAACTGCCCAATTATTTTTGAATATATCATTTTGCATTCCCATCAGCACTGTATACAGTTCCAGTTGCTAAACATCCTCCCAACTGATACTGCCAGTTTTTCAAATTTTAGCCATTCTTATAGGTAAGGCTAGTGGCATCTCGCTGTGGCTTTAACATGTATTTTCCCTATGACTAATGACATTGAGCAGTTTTCACTTTTGTCATTAGTATATCTTCTTTGTTGAAGTGTATCATTATTTTTTAAAAATATATTCTTATTGATTTCAAAGAGGAAGGGAGAAGAAGAGAGAGAGAAACATCAATGCTGAGAGAGAATCACTGATCAGCTGCACGCCCCCCACTGGGGATGGAGCCCACAACCCAGGCATGTGCCCTTGACCAGAATCGAACCTAGACCCTTCATCCTCAGGCCGATGCTCTATCCACTGAGCCAAACAGGCTAGAGTGAAGAGTGTTGTTTTTACCTTCATTCTTGAAGTATATTTTTACTGGATATAGAATTGTAATTTTTTTTCTTACAGCACCCTAAAGAAGTTGGTTCACACTCTTTTGGCCTCTGTTGTTTCTCATGAAAAGTTTGTTATTATTCAAACTGTCTTCCTCTATTTGAAATGTATTATTTTTCTCTGGACACTTTCAAGAGTTTTTTTCTCAATGTTTATTGGTTATCAGCAATTTGACTATGTTGGGTTTCTTTGTATTTATGCTGCTTGGGGCTCATTAAGATTCCTGAAGCTCTAAATCTAGATCTTTCAGCTGCTTTGTTAATTAAGGATCACTATTTCTTCATATATTTTTTGTTCCACTTCTGGGTCTCCAGTTCACATGAGATTTTTCCTCAGATCCTCCAGATTCTCTTCATCTTCCTCTCAACCTCATGCCAACTTTTTTCTCTGTTCTTCAGATAGGATAATTTCTGTCTTCAATATCATAAACTCTTTCCTTGCTCATATCTATTCTGCTATTAAGCCCTTTCAATGAGTTTGCTTATTTCAGATATTGTATTTGTCAGTTTTAGAATTTCCCTTTTTTATACTTCTATTTCTGTTTTGGCACTTCCTATCTTTTCATTCATTAGAAGAATATTTTCCTTAACATCAATGCTTCTAAAACTTTAGAGGGTATCAAAATCACTTGGAAAGCCTTTAAAAACATAGGACTGCTGGGCCTCATCCTAAAGTCTGTGATTCAGTTTATTTGAAGTAAGACAATTTGTATTTCCAACACGGTGATGCTGAAGGAGCTGGCCTTAGGACCACACTTTGGGATCCAATGCTTTCCACTACTGAGCTTAGTTATAATAGGGACTTTAAAATACTTGACTGCTACCAACATCTGAGTCATTTTGGATTTGGTCTCTGTTCATTGTCTTTTCTATTGAAAATGAGTCAAATTTTCCTATTTCTTCATGTGTTGAGCAAGTTTGGATTGAAATCTGGATGTTTTGAATGTTATGTCATAGAAACCCTGGATTGTGGCATATTAATCCCAAGAGTGCTGATTTTTCTGTTATAGCAAGCAATTACCTTGGTTGGTCTCAAACTACACACTTGTCTCTTGAGAAGCAGCTCAGATCTTAATTCACTTCTTTCATCCTTAACCATTAGGCTGCTTGGAGTTTTCCTGGCAAATACATGGTTCGAGGATTTATACCCAGAATTTGTGGTTCCTCCTCCTGGCTCTCCCCTGTTTGTGATGCCTCTTACTTTCCAGTAGCTGTGGTTTCCTAAATTCTGTTATTGTGTTCTTATAATCACTTATAATCACTGTTTTAGTCATCTCATATGTTGTCACCTGTGGCTGACCTCAGGCCACTCATCTGAAAATTTGGGGATGATCACCCCACGGTCTTCTTTTTACTAAACACCTGCCTCCCTACCCCCAGTATCTCCCTGCTTTTGTTCCTGTTCTGCATCCTTCTGTAGCTGTTTTCATTCTGCCCAGTGTTTAGTTGCTATTTGCAAGAGGATGGATTCAGTATGAGCTTAGCCATTACTGGAAGCAAAATTCACTTTTAAATAAATGTGATATACAAATTTCCAGTCACCCACTTCTATAAATTTTAACCAGATATAACAATACCACATAAATATATATGTTTCAAAATATACAAACTGAGATAAACAAGTTCCTGTAAGTAACAGATTACATCTCTTTGTTACTGATGGAAGGAAACCAAGGTAACTCACATTTACATGTCTTTTTATATAAGTTAAGTTGAAATGAAAGTCTATCTCTATGTAAACAGAACAAAATTATCCAATGTATGTTAAGAGACCAATTTGCTCTTTTCCTTTATATTTCCTTGGAAATAAGAATCAAAACTACTCTATCTGGGTTATTTTCCTACAAACCATCCTAACTTATCCACACATATTATGTATTGAGCTTCTTTCTGATAATACAACTTGATAGGCTGGCTGCCTGTAAAGTCTCTAAATAAGTTAAAATGCCATTTATCCTACTTAATAAGGGAAAGCTACAACCACATAACTTCTGTTTGAGGGTAATTTATAAAGGATCCATGGCAAAACCGTTACCTGTGAGTTTATTTTACGAAGCATTTGGCCGTGTCAATCCATTTCAGAACTGCCTGTGATTGTTAAACATCCTCAGGGAAATGTCATCCATGTATCCACTTCTAAACTAACTCTCCTCTGCTATACACGAGATGTATGATTAAAAAATGAACTCATAATAAGCATACTGAAGAGCACTGTCGCAAGCAACTAAACTTCAGCCAAGTACCAGCAATGCAACTCATATGTCAACAGGCAGATAACAATCCTGTCGATTAAATAAATGAGGAGCCAGAAAAAAGGGGTCATATTTGTAACAAGTGCATCCCTAATAAATACACCAATGTATTTCCTAGAACAGATGTAATCTGGGTAGCTAAATCCTAAAAGCTCAGAGGCCACCTGGGGATGTGGCTACTAGCTCCACAATTAAAATGCATTTGGACAACAGCTGGCTGAATGGGAGCAGAGGACAGATAAAAAGAAGCTTTGGTCTCACAGAAAAAAACTCCTTAAATACAGGACCAAGCCACATGGGAAGATTTCCTTCCCAAAGCTGAAGAATCAAGGAAGGATTTTTATTCTTTTCAGGCAGAAAGCACAAAGTTAAGGGGTTTGAGGATATGATGAAGTGTTTCCATGATCCTGAACGAAAGGCCAGAAGGCCAGTAGATTTTGTCACAAGTGACGTCAACATGGTAAGAAGGTTAATAAAACCGCATTGGACTTCATAAGCCTAGAGTGATAACCGGCTGCTATCCTCATGGTGGCATGATTACACAGCTGCCCACTTCAAACCACCTAAACACTCACCATGCAGTTCTTTCAACTACAGAAGAACTGCCTTTGTGCAAAGGCCTTGGTCATCCAAGTAGAAAGTCCATTTAGTCATTTATAAAGCTTTGATTTCCACTCTGCCACTGACTTGTTTCTGTATTTAGGAGTACAAGTTGACCCAGTAATCAACCTGCTTAATTCTCCAAAATCTGTTTTTGACTTATGCTCAGTATTGAGTTTCTCTCTATTAAGTCAACCCTTTCCTCCTCTCAGTTTTCATATTCTGTTACCTTGCAGAACAAATTATAGGGAGGGCGGCAATGAATCAGCAACAATAGAAGCTCGTGTCTAGAAAACAAGTCTGTGATTCTGGAGCACTCTGCACTTAGTATCTGCAGTCCTCAGCTGGCAGACTGCGTCTTTTCTCAGCACAAGGAATTAGCTTCATCATGAAATATGTGTTCAACACACTAAACTATACATTGATGCCTCATTCTTAAATCAGAGATACTAATCTATGTCTCTTTTCATAGTTCCCCAGGGTTAATGAAATACAAATGAATAATTTATAAACTACTCAATACAACCAACTCTGATAACTAAGCAAATACATACATGTATGAGCACACACACACACACACACACCTATTTTATTTGTCACAAAAATCCTATTCCTATGCCAATAAGTTCTATTTGAACAAGGTAGGGGCTTAAAGTAAGCACAGCAAAGTACAAAATTGTTGGACTAGCATCCTAGCAAAATAATCTAATGCAAAAAAATTAAGATCATATTTTAAGAATATTCCTCAGGTACAGAGAATCTCCTATTGATGGCTTATCAATGTTATACCCCATAGTCACCAATAGCTATGCATAGCAAATGCACAGCTATTGGTGGCACAGTTTGTCCTCCCTCTTATACACTATGGAGTCATGGCTGGGGAACTAGGCAGGCATCTCCTAGCCTAATTCATGGTGCGGATGAGTGGCTGGTTCTCACTGAGTGAAAGGGAACAGAGTACCATGTGTCAGTATCGGCTACACTGCTTAGAACTAGGGCTATCCTCTCCTGGACTTCTCTCCCTATCTGCTCACCAGATCCAGGGGCTGAAACAAAAACATATCTAGCTCAAGGCTCACCACAATGAGAAGAACCAGCTAGAAATCCAGTACATCCTGTACCCTTCCCTCAGTGAGAACTAAATTTATAACATGTTTCAGCCACTATACCTTCAGTAATCAATTTGTTGCTACCTCCCAGAATTACTCTAACAGACAAGCTGAAAGGAGGACTTTTCAAAATTGTGAAAGTTTTGGGATTCCATAGAACACAGCAACACTCTACTCTTGCTCAATAAATAGAAAACAATTTATGGTGAGCAACAGCTATGGTAAAAGGAGTAGCAAGAAACAAGCATCTTACATTTTTGAAGCAGAAAGGAGGTGCTTCTTCCGTCCCATGCTGCTTGTGATAATCGGCCCAGTCGAAGTCCTGGCCGGAATAACCTGTGCAGGACAGAACATGGGCAACATTGATCAGGCTAAACACCGACAGTGAACAGCTTTACAGTCTCCCTAATTAAAACAATGAGGGGTGCAAGGATAGGCTCCCAAAAGGTGAAGCCTTTTCTTACACCTGACAGCACATCGGATTTTATGAGGGTCGAATGAAATATTTTGAAAAATGTGAAGTACTACATACAGGTAAGGTGCACCATTATTATCAGAATGCGGTGCCCAAAACCAGGTAAAGCTAAGGTGGAATTGACCCACGCCAGTGCATGACAATGGGTAGATCTGTTCTGGAGAAAAATAGATGATATTGAGGGAGGGGTTTGAGAAACAACTATTCATATATGCTAAATTTAATGAGATACAGATCTTACCAAAGTGGTTTTTTCTTTCTTTATTCATTTGATTTTGCGGGGAGGGTACACTTATAAAATATATATCCATCATAGCCACCACCACAAGATGTGGGAAAAGGTGAGAGAGGAAAACAGTTCTAAATTATAAAATAAGAACAGCGCTGAGTGCATGGCTTAACCTAGATGGGAAAATACATCTTAATGTATGAGTATTTGCATTTCCTGTGGAAAAAAGGACTGGGATAGAAATGAAAAATACAGTAGTAATTAGAATTCATTGAAACTGTATAAAATGTCACTATACCAATGATGGCGAATGTGTGACATGTGAACTCATTTTTTTGGTTGATTTTTCTTTGTTAAATGGCATTTAAATATATAAAATAAATATCAAAAATATAAGTCTTTGTTTTACTATGGTTGCAAATATCAAAACATTTCTATATGTGACATGGCACCAGAGTTAAGTTAGGGTTTTTCAAAATGCTGAAACACGGAGCTCAAAAGGCTCGCCATCACTGCACTATACTCTTCATTTAGTGTTTTCCCTTTATTGGTTTAAGTGAAAGTAAAATACATTTAAGTATATTTTTGATGCAAAAGAGACTGGAAATATTTCTTTTCCCGCATATTGTCATAAATTTATACCTGTAAATTCACTTAACATGGGGACTTTAGTTCCTAAATCCCACAATTGCAGAGTAATGACAGGAATTCTTTACTAAAGAAACTCAAGATACCGGTTGCCTCCTACCTCCGTCTGTACTCACAAGTACAAAATAATGTTCTTTTCATTAAGTCAGCACAATTTACCCAACTTTTCTTAAAATGGAGGCATTAACCAAGAAGGCAGCTGTCCTCCTCTGGCCCTCCCATGTCCTGCTCCCCATCAGTGGCAGAGGTACCCCCTTCCTTGTAAGACATCCCTCTCATTCTATGAAGACTGACAAGTCCTCACTTCTTCCCCATAAGGAGATAAGAAGTCTCAGAGTTTTGAGGTGCTATGTACTCTTTCTAGCTGGTTCTGAACAGGGCCAGCACATCTTCCAGCTGCCTTTCCCCCACGGCTTTCCAGAACCGCCCCTCCTGCCAGAGGCTCTTGCAGCAGAAATTTCTGGAAGGGATCAAACCAACTTTCTTCCAAATATTCATAAGCAAAATAAAACATGTGCTAAACAAGGTAATGCAAGTTCCTGTGCAATTACTATAATCTGCCACTTGAAGAGTAGTAGTCTGTCTGGAACTGTTTGGGGTCAAATACTCACATTAATGTATAAGAAAAGGAGAATTCCAACTGGTGAGACGTTACCTAACAGTACGAAGGGCACTGAACCAGGAGGGAGACTGATTTTAGATCCAGTTCTTCCAGGAACTAGATGGATCAAGGTAAAAGTAAATTAAACTTTCTATGCAACAAACTTTATCTACTACTTCAAAAAATAAGGAGGCGATCTTATAAAGTTCCCTCTAGCTGCTGCATTCCATGACTCAGAACCACCACTGCTAATAGTTCACTGTTGCTGCTTTGGATTTTTTTCCTTTCCTCTGTGCTTAATGTCCTTTTCTTCTCCCAGGAGAAACGTGTGGCAGGGCTGACAAACAGAGGTTATGTGACAAGACATTCCCTAGCTGAGCTCTCAATTGAACAGCTGAAGACAAGATGATCCCCTGCAACAGGACCCGATTTGTTTCGTGGTGTGGCCAGTCGACTGTTACAAAGTCAAGATCTCCTCTGTTCCATCTCTTCCCTATACTTCTGCTGCTTCCTTACTTAATTTTGTGAATGAGGAAACCTCATCAAGATCATAGGGGAAGAGAAAAATTAGGAAAAATGTATATAAATTGTAAACTATGTTCTGAGATAACATGAAATTTAGGTATTTTTTAAAATATATTTTTATTGATTTCAGAGAGGAAGGGAGAGTGAGAGAGAGAGATAGAAACATCAATGATGAGAGAGAATCACTGATTGGCCGCCTCCTGTACACCCGACACTGGGGATCAAGCCCACAACCCGGGCATGTGCCCTGACTGGGAATCGAACCATGACCTATTGGTTCATAAGTCAATGCTCAACCACTGAGCCACGCCAGTTGGGTGAAATGTAGGTATTCTTTATGGTCAATATCTGTTCAGATAAAATTTTCAACTTAGAAATCACCTCTACTTCTACAGACAGACATTTAGCAGGGTTCTCTAGAATTCAGTTCCTAATCGCCAAACTCCAATGGACTTTAACCCCCTCCATAAAATGCTATGCTCCATGGTTTCTTGGACCAACATTCAATCCTCTACAACCAGTCTTCACGACTCTATAGGAAGCCATTTTTAATCTAATAATTTCAAGGGATAACCAAGTCTTGCTGAGTACATAAGCCTACCACTAGAACTCTCTCCTTTCCCTGAACATTTGAACAGCCAAGGCTTCTCCTCCTCCTCCTCTTAGAGACCTTTATTCACTTCATCAGTTAAAATTCTTTTCCTTCGGGTTGATAATGAGCTCTCTTTGTAAGGTGGTTTTGTGACAGCTCAGAAAATAACTGCTACATAAAAACAAATTGCTGTGGCTGGTATAATAGAGACAACAGGGGTCAATTATACTCATTAATCAACAAAGACAGAACAAGAAGTACTAAGGCTTAACTTCAGCCAGGAAAACATGTTTTAAACCCGGGAGAGAGGGTAATAGCAGAGGGGAAAAGAAAATGAAGGCAAATCAAAACCCCTTAGGCTATTAAAATTTGCAGCAAGTTGCCATAGGAGACTGTTGAACCGCAACCACTAGAGTTATTTCAGCTTTTATTAGTGTTTATTCTGAATGAAGTTCCAACTGTTTCAGGTCCAAAAGGGAACAGGTCGATGACCCATTTCCATATGACACAAATTAATTGACATAAAGCAGCTCCACTTGCAAACATTGCTATTGGCAGTGCAAGTAGACAATGCTTTTAAAAAAAACAATTTGGCAGTAAAAATGTTCATGGACTTTGACACAATTTCATTTCTAGGAATTTATCCCATAAAAACAAACCTAAAAATACAAAAGAATGTTATACATTAAGATATAATGGCATTATTATTGATAATACTAACTGGGGATGGGTGGAGGCGGGGGGATGACTTTGTATCCAAATATAGAAAATGATTTGAAACTTATCCAAGTCCATGGAAAGTCATGCAGACATGAAACTGCACAGAGTCTATTTTTTTAAAAAAGTCATGATAAATGATTGTTATAGTTTTATTTTATTTTTTTATTACATATATTTTTATTGATTTCAGAGAGGAAGGGAGAGGGAGAGAGAGATAGAAACATCAGTGATGAGAGAGAATTATTGATCGGCTGCCTGCTACACACTTCTTACTGGAGACTGAGCCTGCAACTCGCGCATGTACCCTTGACCTTCCGGAATTGAACCCAGGACCCTTCAGTCCACAGGCCGATGCTCTATACACTGAGCCAAACTGGCTAGGGCAATTGCTATGATTTGAAATGAAAATATTGGTATAAGCATACACAGAATTATCTAATTTATATTAAAAATATGCAAAAAAGAAAAGCCTAGTGGTAAATATCAAAATAATTAACTGGGTGGTGGGATTCCTGGATACTTTTTTCTTCTACCTCTTTGCACTTTACAAGCTTTCACTAATGATCATGAGCTACTTCAATAATAAAAATTATTTGAAAGGGTAACATCTTTGCTCTATTTTAAAAGCTCATCAAGGCGCTGGTCAATCAATCAAGGGTTGATTCAGCTCGTGACTGCCTCCCCACAGCTGTCCTCTCACTTCTGGTGTGCTAACAGATTCCTGATGGTTCGAGTTCCCACAGGAAGTCAGATCTCTCCCCAGTACCAGCAATCAAATCGGGACAACCCTGAGACAATCATGGTGGTCAGACCTGTAGCCAGTGATTTGGGATGGAGGAGAGGGGAGGGTTACAAAAATATTTCCCTTTAGTAAAAGACACGACAGGAATAAGGGGTGCTTTTTTATGCTCAGTGGATATGACGAAAACTGTACAGTCTTAATAAAAAATAAAAACAGCAAAAGAATACCATGTTTTCCATCTCCCTGATTGGCAAAATGAAAAATGACAGTAATCCCACACTAGAATGACTGTTGGGGAGCAGATACTTTTATTCTGGTTGGTATCTAGCTTGATTAACTATTGCAGGTATCAATTTGGCAACAAGTGCCAAATTTTTAAGAAGGTGTCTACTTCTCCACTCTAGTCATTTGTTCACTTACATATCCATTCATTTAGAAATATTTAGTAAGTGTATGCTATACGCCAGGCAGGGTTTTAATACTAGGAATACAGAAATGAACAAAGCCCACAAAAATCCTTACTTCACAGAGCTTACATTTCAGTGAGAGGAGACAGATTATACACAAATATAAAAAGTCAGGTGATCACAAGTGCTAGAGAGAGAAAGTGGACAAGAGGCGTAGGAAGGGCTGCATCAAGGGAGGCCTTAAGGAAAAGTTGAAACGTAGAGGAATGGTGGAAGCGAACCATGTGTCAGGCGGAAGGACGGGCAAAAGCAAAATTCTAGCAAAAGATTGCAAGTTATAAAAAGATAATGTAATAAAATGTCAATTTTCCTAAGTTAATCTAGAAATCCAGTGCAA